AAAATATGTAATCGTTCAAGAGTTATAACTTTTTGAATTTTTGCCACATGTGGAAACAATTTTTTCCAAATTTCAAAACATCATAACTCTTGAACGGTTGGACATTTTTAGACGAAATTTAAAATCTGTCGATGAAATTCGGTATAGCTTCCTACGAGATTCTAAAATCCAAGATAATACTAACAGTAAAAAATCCTAGGAGGGGGGATCAGAAAAATGCTAATTTTTTTCGCGAAACTCCGAATGCAAATTTTTTTTGATAAAATTCCATCATTTGGACTCAACATTACCCTCTATGAGTGTCATTTGGGTCCCATGCTCAAAAGTCAAGATTCAGCATACTGAAAAATCCTGGATACGTCACTGCATCCGACATTTTTAATTTATATTGTTCAAGGTAAAGATTATTTTTTTTTTGATTGGTTGATCTAGGATTCTATGAAAAACATATCGATTGTTGACGTTAATGTCATATGTGTGTGTAGTTTATAAGAAAAACAATTTTCTCTGTAGATTATAATTTTTTTACACTTAAAATTCAACTTTAGATCTTTGGAAACATTCAGAATTTTCTTAAAAATCTCTAGAATTCTAACCCAACAAACTGTTCTATGTGCCCTGGATTTGGCAACACACTGACAAAAATCATTTCATAATATTTCTTCACATTCATCAGTTATTCAATTTGCTTTCTGATATTTAATGTACAAACTAAAGGTTTCACCGGCATCTTATCAAGGTCTAATTGACCTAAAACAAAATCGAAGTCAAATTTTTTTTGACGTCGACTGTTTTTTTATGTCTTTAGTCCATGATAAGACATTGTTGAAATCTTCCGTACAGGAAATATTAGAGAACAAAATTTATTATTCAAAAAAGTTCATTTGTTAAAACTAAATTTTCGAATCCGAATGTAGAATCAATTTGACGAGCTCTAATAGTACTAGAGTATATCGAGTTCTTAGACATTGATGTCCTTGATGCCACAAAACGGAACGAAAAATAAATTTATAATAGAAATTCTCTTGTTTTTTTTTCCATTTTTAGAATATTATACAATATTAATTCAAAAGTTTTTATTTGTTCGAATATAAAATTCTTAAATAAACAATAGTTGTAGTTATAAATTCATCTTCTACTAAATTTTAATGTAAATGTTTAACATCTATTATAATCTTATTTAAAAAAATGCAAATTCAATGCTAAAAATAACATTCAGTTGTTCTTCAATCGAATTAAATCCAATATACTATGCAAAATAAGTTAAAATATTGATCCCTGGAGTATTTATAATATTTAAGGACAAAATTATAATTTATCTCGATGAAAAGTATTATATCTAACATAGAACTATTAAATATTCATACTTAGCTGAATTTATTTGACAGATAAGATTAAATACATTTGTACTTGTGATTGTAGGTAAATGTAATAGTTGATTTGATTCAAATAATTTTTGTAGATTATCAAAAGTAAAATCACTCTAAATAAATTTATTATTGACAAAAAAAAAAAGAAAGAAATTCGATTTTTTGATATTCTTACATCTTTAATTACTAATTCAGGTTTATTAATATCTTCTTTAAATAATAAAACAGTATCTGATATTGTAGAAATTTGTTTAAGAAACGACAGCAATGATGTAGTTTTTATCATAGCTTTTCAAAACAAGAAAAAAATAAATTGAAAAAAAAAAAAAAAATTTTTTTTTTTTTTTTCTTTTATTATACATACATGAATTAAATAAAGCACATTGTATTCTTGTTGAATATTGTAAACATGGTATAACAAATTTAAGTGTTGGTGTTTTTTGTTTTGTTATTAATAAAGCATTTACTCGATTTGATTGATTATAGGATTTAATCATTGTTAATATATCATCATCAGTTTTTAACTAAATATTAATAAATTGAATATTATTTTATATGATAATAGAGTATTTTTACTGTTTGAATAAATCGTTTTGTTGGTATAGATTTTCGTACAAATTCTTTTATATTTGCTCCGGAAAATTCCTGATCATCAAAATGATAAACACGACCTTGACTGATTACACACAAAGATGGAATATTTATAATTCCTAATTGACTACTTAAACGTTCATCATTTATATTAAATTCACCAGTACCAATACCTATTTATTATAGAAAATTATTAAATAATAATTAACAACGAAAATTAATAAAATTATTTTTTTATGTAACCGATAATTTCGAATTAAATTAAATAGTGAATATCCTAATATTGAAGAATGCTAATTTATAGTAGCATAGCCAGAAGACTAGTGCTCCTCTTGTTGTGATTGGCTAGTGGTACCGTCTCTATGTGTGATGTATTATCCAGGATACAGATGATTAGTATAGTAGCTAACGGCAAAACTAGAACTCAAGCTCTTCTCTTGTTTCGAAAGTGGTAATAGAGAGTGTAGTTATTGTATTGGCACGATGTATTCTTGATACCACGGTGTATTTAGCGAGGGTGTTGCCTCCGCCGCAACTCATTGACTTCTATTTTAACTGTTGAGAGATCTGTAGGAGACTAAAAATAATATATAATGATTTGTATTAATGATTCCCCTGTACGAAGATGTGATTAGTAGTAGTAGTGTTACAGGAGAATCAAGCCTTGTAAAGTTATTGCTAATGGTGGTCCTACAGAAAATCTGAGAGGGCTTAGTTTTCCTTGAAAAAAAAAAGTCCGTGCATCTCTTATATCAGACAAAAAAATGATTCTTCCTTCGTCTAAAATCCTTCATATGAAATCTTCATTTTATTATAACAAACTTGAAACTTTTATATAGCAAAAACTTTATGGATGTAAGCGTTATTGTAATACTATGGAAAAATTAACGTATTTTTACAGATTCTTTTGATCAATCATCAAGTGAATGAGATTATACCGAACTCGAACTCTGGTTTGGTATTGTTGATTTTGTTTTTCGGTTTACTTCTACTTCTTTTTATTAATTGACTGATAATGATCACAGTCACGACCAAATCCAAACGTTCGGGTTTAATGAACGCCTATTACTTATTGAAAGAATATGATGCCTAACGACATCTATCAATTTCTAAACTGCAATTTTTAAGAAAATTCGTAAAAAAACAACATTAAATTTTTAATACTATCGAAGCCAATGACTATTTTTGGATTGAAATCTGCTGATAACGACTATCTAATGTTTTGATAAGCGAAAACAAACGTTTTATCGCAACAAGTGGTTCGTTATCATACTCATCGTCATCCGCATTTATTGTTCAAATCTAATAATTTATCAGCACTATAGACCTGTAATATAACTTACAACCGTTCTAAAAAAAGAAAACCTTAATCCATTTTGAAGCATTAAGAATCTCAGCAATATTGACAATCATTTTCAGATTATATTTTGAATTCAATTTTTATGTCTTAAATAGTCAAATTTGAAAGCTATAAGCTAAGCCAAATATGTAGCACAGAGATGCCCATCGCGGCTGAAACTCTGCTGCTGCTTCAATGAGAATTCAAATAAAAAACAACAACAACAAATATATCGAATTTTACTATTGTGACTGTATTAAACTAGAACTGTTGTTATTCATCAATGGGATTTATCGAATCTCACAGTATTACATTTCTCAATACTAAAACTCTGTGCAATGGTGACAATAAGTTTTTCAATAATTTTCGCTACAGTAAAGAATATATGTATGCTTGTAGAGAAAGACACTTGTCTATATAATAGTGTATGCAAAACCACATTCCACTTCGTACAATTAACATCTCTATAGATGGCGCCACATTTGCCGCATTTTACAGCGGTTTGCGGTGAAGGTGATGCCACCGATTGGCATGTAAACCACATGCAGTTGAGCTTGATACTGCATATACTATTAGATAGAAAAAAATCTTTCTCTACAAGTCTACATATATCTGGTACTGTAATCAAAACCTTATACTCAACATATCTACAGTTTTCATCATGTTCTCGAGAAAAGAAAAGCTGTTACTACAATATATATCTCTGATGAGATATTATATGACTTAGTTGAATCTTATGTTATTATTCGAATGAAAAATGATTCTATTCAATTACATACCAACATCATTTAATTGTTTTTCTATTGAACGAAAAACTTCTAATGGTTGTCGACAATGAAAACAAAAATTAGTACTACCAAATATTAAATAAGGTTTTTTATCACTATTTGGTAAAATATTGTTAAGAAATTCACTAGAATAATGAAGTAAAATAAAGAAAGAAAATTAAAAAACAAAAAAAAACAAATTTACTATAAATGAATAATTTTCTTTGCACCGGATGATGTTTCATGAAAAAAATGTGCTCGAAACATATCAAATGGATCTCGAAAATGATAGCTATTAAATCCTTGATGATTATCTTCTGATGTTGTACCATGTTCATCGTATTGTTGTCGTTTTTTTGCATCAGATAAAATCTAAAATTAAATTTGAAAAATAAAATATACGTATAAAATCATATTTATTGTTTTACTTCATAAGCAGCATTAATGTTTGTAAATTGTTCATGTGCATTTGATTCTGAATTTTTATCTGGATGCCAATGTTTAGCTAATTTTTTGTATGCTTGTCGAATTTCTTTATCTGATGCAGTTCGAGATAAACCAAGAGTTTCATATGGATTAAAATCATTTTGATTAGCTGATAAATTATAAAAACCAATAATAAAATAAATAATAATATATTTTATTGAATGCATGTAAATTTAATAATAATAATAATAATTAATCTAAACTAAGAAATAATAAAATAGTTGAATGTTCGCAAATGGTACAAAATCTTGTCTGAAATAGTCAAATATCAAGATATAAACGATCCGAAAGTATCTAGCAAACAAGAAACTGATCTGTATATATTAAAATAAACAAAATTTTATAGATTTGTTAGTAATAATAAAAAACAATTCGTATAAAATATAAATTCATCAATTATCATCCATAGAATTTTTCTTTTGAATTGTTTTCTTTTTTGTTTTTTTCTTCTTTTTAATTTTTTGTATTTCTTGATTATGTTTTCGAATTTGATTACGTTCATCTTCATTTATTAAATCATTATCATTATCTTTAATAAACATTTTAAAATAAATTCCACCTAATGTTCGTATTTGTCCATTATCAGATTTAATTATTGATGAATCATTTGTATTATATAATCGAATAGCTTCATGAGCATATTGAAATGCACGTTGACAACCAATTATACTAAGTATAGCACGTAAAAGATCTTCATTTTTTTCATTATTTAATAAACGTGAAAGATTTTTTAAATCTTGTCGATTTGGTTTACGTTTAGATTTTGAATCATGAGTTTTTTTTCGTTGAAAATATTCATCAATATTTGTTCCAGGTGGAAATACATATGTTAATGGATTATTACTTTGTTGTGCTATTGGATCATCAATATGAATTATTTCTGTATTATCAGCTAATGCATTTGACATGATGGAAGAAAGATTATGATCAGTTAACATTTTTGTCCATGATTGACTAGTTTGTTTAGGTTGTGAGATTGTTTTCGAAGGCATTTCATCATCATCATCATCATCATCATTATTGCTTAATGATGAATCTAATTCACCTTCACTTCGTTCATCATCATCAAGTATTATAGATGTATCATGTCGATGATTTTTAATACTCATCTAAAACAAAAAAATTCAATCTATATTAGTACGAATGAAAATATTCGTTGAGAAATAAATCACTTCTATTAAGAATATTTACGAATGTTTCAAAAGGATATATTCAATTCGAAAGTTATCATTTCAAAGACAAACCATTCATGTTGAGAAAAATTCAAATAGTTCTATCTTTTTTTTAAATACTTTAAACCAAGTCATAATAAATATACACGTCTAACAAGGTCCATATATATGTTTTGAACTTGCAAGATCATTCGAATAAAACTTTTATTAACATTTCGAATTTCATCATTAATAAATTGGTTAGTCAATCAAATTGATAAGACTAGCTTTGTACATAAATCCTATGCGAATGTTTATACTGTCATAGAAAGAAATGTTGGTTCTTGTCGACTATGATGCAATATACAGAGAAAAAAGTTTATCATTGTTAAAAAAGAATTCCGGTAGATTTTTTGAAAAAATGAATTATTAAAACTATGATTTCAGGAAGGAATCTTCACAACTTCCAAATCGTCTTTGAGTTTGAACTTTGTGTATCAGGCTGATTCCAACAATTTATTAAAAAGCCCGATAGGATACGAGCAACTAGGTTCTTCGTTCAACGGTATAGCCGTTTTACTGTAATTTTTTCGCTTGTATAAACAAAAGAATGGAATGAGAATATATTGATCTGAAATTTTATCCACACTCACATCCCACTTGTGTAATTAGAATCTCTTGAATATTTTAGAATATTCAAGAGATTTCAATTACACAAATGGGATGTGATTACGGATAAAATTTCAGATCAAAATATCTTAATTCTATTCTGTTGTTTGTACAGACTAAAATTTTCAGTAAAACAACTATAATTTTGAAGGAAAAGCCGAGAATCCCTACAATTCACAGCTTTTAATACTTCATTGGAGTCTACATTATTCACCGAGTTCAACCTGAAAATCAATTTTCAAATTGGGAAAGTTCTCTCGTAAGTAATTAATATGAAATCATGCTGAAGTAAATAATAAAGAGTTAAATAAATGACGATTATTTGAAATTTTAAATAAAAAAAATTGAAAAAAATCTTAGACTGCAAAAAATATCGTAGAATACAACTATTGAATAATGATAATTGACTAAAACTATTTCGAATAGTAATCATCACGTTTTAGAAAATATCATAGAGAGTCAAAATTCTATAAAAAAAAATCTTAATTATCATTCTATGCTTGTGTTAAACTTTTTAGGAAACTCTTGAATTCGTCTTCCTTTTTTCTTATTTACTTGTTCGAACAGTTGTTGGTGCAGTTCATATTCATAAAAACCTTTAACTTCAATTATATAAAAGGTTCTCGTATATGATGAAGATTTTGCAATATAATTTTGTTCTATAGAAACGTTTCAAATTCGATGAAGTAACAACTTCATTGTTTGATTTTTAAAATAATTGTTGTTATTAGCCCATAAGTTTAAAATGTTTCTTCAGATAAATAAATTTATCTAACTAATTTATAAAATGACCATTCTATTATGAACTAAAATATATAAAAAATGATTCGAACAGAGAATATCGGTGAAAAGTTACTTTTTTCAAAAGATAGACGAACATGAATATATTATAAAAAGTTTTAATACGATGGATTTTCTATTGAATAATTGACTTATAACGTTTTTGGTTGTTAGAATTTTAACAAAACTATTTCATTTTGAAATTTCTTTATCAAAGTTTTTAAAGTAAAAGCTTTTTTTAGTTAACCAATGATGAAATGCAACGAATAAATTTAATAATTTATACATATTGGCTAAAAGTGAAACATGTTGATATAGATGGCATTAGCATGCGTCATATATTAGACGAAAATTTTAATAATTTTCAAGACAAGATATAAGACAATCTGGTTGTTCGAATTTATTTGAGAAAGTATTTCTTGTTAAAACAAATGATAGAGAGGTCATTAATAAATACATCATGATATCGTAAATGAATAATAACAAATAAGATAAACCATTGAATCTGAAGTAATTTTTCTTGAAATTTAGCAATCGCATCATGACACAGTAGATAGTTAATAGTCAACATTTTTGATGAGATGCTAACTATATTGTTTCTCTCCTACTCATAAAGGAAGTTCTTCAGCTGATAAATCGCTTTTGATTCAAGACTATGAGCTATGTGGTCCAGGAAGATTGGTTTTCGAATTTCGATTTGGAACTTTTGCATAGAGATAGGTCCTGACGAGAATATTTTTTTTTATGAATGTCTTAAATCTTGCTGCTCTTTCTGTCCTAAGATACAACTATGGTGATTGCGTGTCTTTGAAGAATATCAAAAAAGTGAAAAATAGGAATTCCTTTTCAATTCCCTCCATGAGTTCATGATTAGTAAAATTAAGAAAATATAATATCTACGATAGTTTTTACTCTTACATTCATATCCATCAGGAAGTTTGCGAATGTAAATGTATTGGTATGAAAATTTTTGCATGAAAACCATCACTTTGGATGTTACGAATGGTGGAACTAATGGTCAGTTCTCGTTTTTCCCTCAAGGAATTATTATAGTTTTAAAACGAAAGATTTCTCTTACGAGGGAGCTAGAAATGGATAAAAAGTCCAGTAAACTGCTTATAATTCGGCACTGAATCCTTTTAGTCTTTCCTATTTCTCACTGAAACCTATCTATGAGCTCAAACTGCAGATGTCACTTTGTATAGTTTCCTCATCAGTATTGCTTGACGTGCACATGAGCTAGTCCATATCGTTAAGAATACTTTTTAAAATGACTATTAATTCACTTTTTTCATTGACTCGTTATGCTTCTCTTAATATAAAAAAGCTATACAAGAGATTTTCTTTTCATTGAACATAATTTTTTGTATTTAGTACGATCGATCATATTGGTATTAAGTATCAACTTTTTCAATTCGACGTCCTAATTAATGCATAACAATAATCCAAAAATTCAGTTCTCTAATCAAATGAATACAAGAGCACACTGTAAGATTAACAAAACGAAATCAATTAGAAAAAATTTTCACTAAATTATTCAATGAAAAAGTAATCGATATGAAATAATACAAAAAAATCCTTATTTCAATATGTCATAGCAATTTTTCTACGTACATTTCATCTGATAATAAACTATCACATTCACTATGATCAAACTTATCTCATAAAATTCTAGATGCGATATCTAGTTGGACAAGTAAAAGTTCAATTGAGTATTCATAAATACCAACAGAATTATATTGTCACCAAAGCGAAAACAACGGACTTAGAACATAGAGACTTCAAGAGATTTTCTTAAGACTTCAGGATTGAGGTTCCCTCTTGTTTTCCTTGCGATTACAATTGATGTATTCAAGAAATTTTTTTCTATGACAATCAATCAACATTTTGATATTTACAATTGGTTTTAATCATTTTAAGTTAAAATAAGTTAATCAATTCATGTTGTTTTCATTACTATGACATATGTCATAAAAACATCAATTGACAGTTAAAGTACTATAAATGATAGTAACCATTTTATTTGCATAATTTGTCAATATTCACGAAGTAAATATATGTGAAATCGAAATGGTTATCATATAATATAATAAAACTTTCGTTCTTTCCTGAAAAATTTCTTCTATGAATTGTTAATAAAAAAAGCAATGAAGTATTTGCTGAATTCAAAAAAACAAGAGTTTAACAGGGCTAAGGATTTAATAGGAAAATTTCAGAAACAGTAAATGATAATTTTTTGATATAATAATTTAGTTTAAAATTAAATTTCCTTCGACAAAAGATTCAGTATTTTAATTGGTTAAAGATCTTGAATTGTGTTAAGTTCGTTCTCTGCGATTTCATTGGTCTAATTTTAAGTTTTTTTTTTTCTTAAGTGCATATATAACTTACTTGTTTAATTAGATGAAAAAAGAAATTTTTTTTATAAAATTAGAAAACTTAAATTGAAATATTATTCAATTATGCATTGAAAATATAATCAAAGATGATTGCCAAAATTTCTACTATTGGTATTTGATGGATCACCAGCCGATAGTTACTTGTTTATTTCTATGCTGAACGAATTCGATGGAAAAATTTCAAAATTACTTTATATTTTATATATATTCTTTTAGATTTAACTAAATATCACTGTCATTTAATTATGTCGTCAAAAATTAGTCGAGTATGTTATAACGCTTAAAAAAAAGAAATAAGCAAAAATTTTTTTCCCTTTTCGTTTCATTAGGATACGCTGTTTGAAACAGCACAAAATGTTTTAAATTATTCCACTCAAGAAAAAAAACGTAATTTTGTTGAAACTGTTGAATTACAAATTGTTTTAAAAAATTTTGATCCATCACGTGATAAACGTTTCAGTGGTACAGTACGTCTTCGTCATATTCCTAAACCAAAATTTACCGTATGTGTTTTGGGTGATGAAAGTCATTGTGATGAAGCTCGTGCTAATAATATTCCAGCAATGACAATTGATGATTTAAAAAAATTCAATAAGGATAAAAAATTAGTACGAAAATTATCTCATCAATATGATGCATTTCTTGCATCGGATGTTGTTATTCGACAAATTCCACGTATTCTTGGTAAATTTAAAAATAATTAGAATTTTGTCATGTTTTTTTTTTTTCGTTTTATCAAGGACCGGGTTTAAATAAAGCTGGTAAATTTCCAACAGCTATTACACATAGTGATTCATTGATACAAAAAGTTGAAGAAATTAAATCAACAATTAAATTTCAAGCTAAGAAAACTATTTGTTTAGCTGTAGCTATTGGAAATGTTAATATGACTGTTGAAGAATTGGCTGCAAATATTAATTTATCAGTCAATTTTCTTGTTTCATTACTTAAAAAGAATTGGCAAAATGTAAGAGCACTCTATGTCAAATCAAGTATGGGTAAACCACAACGACTTTATTAGAGAATAAGAACATCAAAATCAATGACGACGAAACAAATACAAAGAGAAAACAATTTTTTTTTTTTATAACATCATTGTTTTGTTTTCTATGTATGTGTCAAAAAAATAAGAAGAGAAATAAAATAAAAAAAAGACCTTTGCGCATACATTTATATTTTCAACAAATAGAAACATCTCTGTGTTAGTTAGATTTTATTTTAATCATAGATAGTTTAATTCTCAAATGAATAACTATCGACGACATTCAGACGCTTCGAACAGGTACGTTTTTGATCGAAATTATTTTTCTTGTCGTCTTATTTCATTATGTATAAAGATAATTTTTAAATTTAATTCAGTGTTTTTCTTATTGTTGGTAAAAAAAAAAAAGCATATATATGTGTTCATGTTAATAACCGCTTTCTTTTCACTTGCTCAATGCTTAGCAATGAGATTTTGTAATTCTGGGTACAGAACAGTGGCGTACGCAGAAATTTTTCAAGGGGGGGGGGCCCGCCATGGCACAAAAAATTTTTTATCACGCGAAAATATTTTTTCCTGTACCCCCNTAACTTACCATAGAGTGCTTCCCCCCCTCCCTCTACAAACAATTTTCTTCTACACCCAACTCTTCTTTCTCTCCACCTCCCCCCCCCCCTTCGTACGCCACTGGTACAGAAACAGAAAAAAAAGCTTATGTGTAGTTGATTAATTTATCTAACTATTCAAATATGAAAGTAATGAACATAAATCAAGAGTAATGGAATAATAAAATATCCATTAGAGACATCTAATTGTTTACATCATAACGATTTTTCGTAGTAGGAATAACAGGCTTCTTGAATATTTGAAGTTATTATTGTTTTTTGATAGAAGAGCTGATTAATTTCCGTCTAATATTGTCTATTTCCGATGATATTTGTCGAATTGAAAAAAAAAAAAGGAAATATGGGAATTTATTTAGTTTTATATTTATTGGACTCATTCAATTCTGTGAGCTTTTTGTTTCCAATAATATAATGTATTTGAACTAAACTTGATGAACTTTTACTCTTATTAATCTTTATGAAATTTTCTGCGTCGCTTATTGAAGATATATATCAATTACAACTAGAAAAATTAAAAAGTTTGATTGAAATATAAGATTATAATTCGAAAACATTCACTCTTTAGTCAATGTAAAACAAATTTAATGTAAATTTGAGATTAACAGGTATTATTGAAGATCTTGTTCAAATTTATTCACAAAGAAAGGTAAGGTTAATATAGATCTTGTTTACTTTCTTAGTTTTTGCATAGATCGATTTCTTTTGTTTTACTTTTTCCAATGTGAAATATTATAGGTCTTTATCTTACTTAGAAACATATCACAAGTATTGACGGAGATATTTTTGTTCCCAAAAGAAAGTTTTTCTTTTTATGATCTCATAGTAAAAACAATGTTCTATGTTATAATAGTAAAATTTCGATAACAATTGTTTTTATGACATGTAATGTCTTCGATGCATATTCTCTTCTTAATGTTCTCCTTCTCTTTTCTTTTTCTCATCTTCTCTAATGCCTATTCGTTAATAACTATTAAAGTATAGAAAAAGTGGTAGCGATAGAACAAAGAAGAAATATAAAAAAAAAAAAAAAAACATTTATCAAGTTTTTATTTTGATTAAAAGTTCGGAATAATCGTTCTGGTTATTCTCATATTCAATTGCATTCGTTGAATTCATTACAGCACAAAGCAATGATTTCAAATCGCTCAAATCTTATTTGTTTAAGTTAAATAATCACATGGCACCAGATTCAGAAAATTAGTTAAGTAAAAAACTTGATGAACTTTTTCCTATATTTTAATTTTTACTGATGTTACTCTAATGAGTTCAATACAGGATTCTAAAACACCTCGAAGACAAAATGTGATCTATTTTAGAGCATGCTAGAAGTAATGATGGAGGTATTTTAATTTCTTATAAAAAGCTTAAAGATAGTGTTTCTTTTTATAGTCTGATACAGAGATGTCCATCGCGGCGCTGCCGCGGCAAGATTTTTTGAAAAAGCATCGCGGTGCGGAAGATTTTTTAGCAATACAGTCGCGGCGGCGGCACCTTATTTCTGGAAGACATTGCAAAAACTGCATGAATTTGCACAAAAATTGAGTGTCCACAGATGTAACACTCTAAGACTCAATGAATCTCATCGATTAGTGACAAGAATTGTATTTCAATACATTCACAGCAATGAAATTTGAAACTTTTTTCAAGTACTATCACGGCAGCGGCACACTTTTTGGAAGTTCATCGCGGCGCGGCAGCGGCAGATTTCGAGCTGCGATGGACATCTCTGATCTGATAGTAAAAACGACACTCTACTTCTGTTCACTATGATAATCATTCTTCCACTAATATCACAAGTAACGCTCGTCGCTTCGACTCGCTTAGCCCTCGACTNAAAAAAATATTTCGTTTTCAGGATATTATATTGTCATCTATACATTTAATTCTGATTTCATTCTCAAGATACACTTTATGTCATATATTTTTATTATTATATGCCAGAACAATTAAGCTTGAGCATCTATCAATTTATTCATAGATTGGTATGATAGTATATGATTCAACGAAGTCATTCATATAGATCCCAATTGATTGACATGTGTTATAACTCACGTTGTCATTTATGAATACTCATGGATTATAAAACGATATTAATCATTTTTATATTATATTTATAGGTTTGTGTTAATACAAGAAATTATTTTGTTTTTTTTTTCTCTAGTTTTTGTTCTATTCGGTATTATAAAGTTGAAAATTATTGTATAAGGTCGAAAAACAAGTCCGTTTTTATTTTCTTGCTAAAACACAAACAACCCTTTTTTGTTTCAAGAATTATCTCTTCCAAATTATTTACAACAATCTTATCAAAGGAGCATGTCATTCTAACGCAATGCATTTGAGTAGTAGTCTTAAAGAAAAAAATGTTGCGATGAAAAGTCTTAGAAAATTCTAATACTGCTTTTTTTCGCATTTTTAGAATACTTGCATGTTGTTGATATAAAGAGATATGCTCTACAATTTTATTTGTTTGTTCTACACTCATCTACATAAATCCAATTAATTGCATATACAAAATCGAAACAGCCAATCATAATGTATAGTTTTTTTATACACGCCTACATGCAACTATTATCATCATCACTGACGTCAATGAGAGAAAAATAACGACTAAAGAATATTATTTTGTTAAACATGCCCAATCAAGCAGAAACAATGGATAAATTTCGAGACTCTTACTTTCGAGTATATATATTAAAGCAATCCTAACTATAATTTCGCAGTTTGTTGACTGAGTTATTCAATGTTATACGAATATGCAATTTTATAAAAACTAAACAATAACATGTGATTAACACTAGCATTTTCTTTTTTTTGTATCATCGAACATTATGTTTCTATTATTTTTTTAGATCTTTTTCTTCGAACATACTTTACATATTTTACAAAAAAGAGAAATAAAAATGAAATTATCCTTTTGTCAATTATTTCTATTTCTATTCATAATTATTAATTTCTTTCAATGTCGAAATTGTTCTGATGAAAAACACCACAAAAAAAAGATTTATCAAAAATTATATGAAGCCACAAACCGAACATTATCATCATTACTATCTCCAGTCTGTTCTCAAGTTTTATTCAATGATAATAATATACAATCTCAATATATATCTCCACAAGGTTTATCTGGTCGTATTATACCGGCTGGAACATTTCCAAGCACAATTTTAGCTCTAGAATATCTATACGGAATTCTCTGTCCAATACGAAATTTACCACCACGGGCAAATGTTATTCAAGCATTTGATTTAGTACGTATTGCTTATGATGAAAAATATTTGATCACTCAGTTTGAATTTATAGCTTATTTAAGTAGTAATAAGCGATTAACTTTTTTTGCAAGTACTGCTTTTGATAAAAATTATAAGTTATGTGGCTATGATGGACAAATACGAAATCTTGGATTAACATTGGATCCAAGTACAGATGCAGAACGTCAAGCAATAATAAATATCATATGTACTGTTCAACAAATATACTGTAATGGAACATTAAAACAATATTCAAGTGTCAATGATTGTGAACAATATTTAATGACACAGATACCTTATGGTTCATTTGATAGAGGAGATCAAGGAAATGTTATTTGCCGCGCTATTCATACAAATTTTGTTCCTCTATTACCATCTGTACATTGTCCACATGTTGGTCCAACTGGAGGAGGAGCATGTACTGATAAAACAATAGACTTTTATTATAATCAAATAAATTTTCTGGGTTGTGCTCATAAGCAATAATAATAAAATAAAAACATGTTCTTTTTTTCAACTTAAAGTTTAAATAATAAATTGATATCATTCATGAATAACTACGCGACAAATAAGACTTGAAGTCATAAGAAGGATGAAAAATTGGTTAGGTTCATATAAAAGATCTCAATAAAATATGCACAAAATGATTTCACAATCTAAAGAGACCAATTTCGTCCGTTTCTTATAGTCGGACTTAATAATTATTGTTTCATGCTTCTTTATTAACTTAATATTTGAATGCCTGTTAATATATGTATCTCTTTAAAACATTAGAAATACTGGAATCTTGAGATGTGAGGATGCTATTTGAATCTAATTGCAATATATTTATTTTTCAGTTGATAAGGATTTTGACAAAATTACCTGTTGGTGACACGACAGTTGAGCTCCCGACACTTGAGCCCCCATTAAACAGGAGATTAAAGAGTACAAGAAAATAATTTCTTTTGAATAAATTTTGGGAGGTGAATCGTGCAATGTTGTTGTACTATTTCTAATCTTTCATTTAAATTTCATTGGCTAGTGTTTCTTTGGTATTTGGTGCATGAATACGATCTGTGACTTAAACGTATTTTGTACCATCAAAACACACACGACCTGCACAATTATTTCTACAGACACGCCAGATGCTTTGAGATTTATTGGCAAGGCGGTAACAAAACCCGTCAAGTACAAGTTAATCCTTGTTTTTTGGAGATTTTACAATAGACATTGTATAATAATAATAGAATAAGATAGAAGAGTAATGGAGAATAGATAAAAAAGGAAATATAATTCGAAAAACTTATTTGTTTTCGTAAAGATTATTGACTTAGCTATGAAAGTATTTAATAGCGAGTCATCAATCTCATAGGAAGATGTGACTTGTATCTGTTCACTAATTTTGAGCCGAACAAAGTGATCGAATACTGACTTTGTTTCTTTCGTAATTAATCAATGAGGGCTCAACTGTCGGGGGCTCAACTGTCGGGGCTCAACTGTCGGTGTACCGTATCTGTTGAGAAGCAATTTTGTGGAAATCAAATATCGCGGGAACAAATGTCATAGATTCAAAAAGACTGAGAAAACATTATATTATTCAAGGTTCAATTCGAGTCATTTTCATCATTATATAATCACAGAGACCACAATAACATAAGTAATAGTGATATCCTGATACAAAATAATTCAAAGTTTCAGTCAAGTATAAGAAAGACAAACATTAAAGCCGACAGTGATGTCTTATTGTTTGTTTAAATCTTTTTTCTTTTTCATTGTTCCATCATGCTGCATATGTAAATTAAATTGAAGAAACTCTGCATGAGAATGAAATTACGAAATAAACCTAGTAAAGAATAAGTAAATAATGAAGAACGAAAGTAACTATGTGATCAATAAAAAAAAAGATTTTGTATATACTTAGATTTATTTTTTGTTTCATTGGATGCTTTTTTAAAAATTCAACTTTTTTTGTCTGAGAGTTTAAAAGAATTTTTTGAGATAAAACTTTCTAAAAATAAGTAAAAAACTGATTTTGAACGGGATATGAAAAACGACATAATAAAATTGTTATTGTTTAAGCCCCCCGGCCCCCTCAAAAAAAGTCAATTTTCTTCAAAAATTTCGAAATTGAGATAAATATATGGGGAGATAGCCCGTCTTTCGCTCTTTCAGAAACTATAGGTTTTTGTTCAAAAACCCTTTTTTGACTGAAAATCGTGATGGTTTCTGTAATTCCCCTGCAGGAAAAATAGGTTTTTTTCTGAAAAAAAAACCTATTCCAAAGTTTTTCTAAAAAGTAAACATTTTCATAGATTTTTAAAGTATTTTAATAAGTTTTGTAGAAAAATCAAATCCCTAATAGCAAAAAAATAAGAAATAAACTGACTGATACACATGAAGAAAGCTTTATTAAAAAACTTTTAAAATGAAAATTTTACAAAAAAAAAATTATTAACAGTTACTTATTGTTCTTCTATCCATGTTCTTTTATCTTGGGGATTATAATAACCATAATCATCATCTTATGACTCATCATTACTTGATATTGAATCATTATCATCAGTAACATGTTCGTCACTATCAGTTGTTGTATCATTATTCTCAGGTGTTGCTTCGGTCACAGGATTTGTATCATTATATCATCATCTATTTAATCAGCACCATCAATTATTGCATCATTGTCCTCTTCTTCATCATCATTTTGCATCAAAACACGACCAGCTTCTTTTCTTCTTTTTCTGTTGTTTTCTTTTAATTCTGTATGCAGCCGATTGTTATCAAAATGTGCCATTGCTTGATCAGTATAATAACCACGATAACCACACATGCCATTGAAAATATCTCCTGTGAAAATATAAAGCAAATATATATGTGAAAAAAAATATCAAAAACTTCAATTATGATTTGAAATAGCTGCTAAAATTATTCGTGTTATCATACCTAATGCAAAATATCCATCATTAAATATTATTATTGCAAGGCAACATGCAATTTCGAAAGTTGTCTCAGATGAAGCCTTGTGTTTTGGTGACATAAGCCCAAGGGGGGAAAAAGCGGATCCTGTGTATCCCGGATCCAGCGGATCCGATGGGAATCCAGAGGATCCATAGGATCCGGTGGGGATCCAGCGGATCTATAGGATCCCGTGGGGATACACATGATACATTCGCGATACGTAGATTACGCAGGACACATTGTAGATAATGATCTCTAAAAACAAACGGTATTTTCAGAAACCAAAGGGAAAAGGTTTCCGAGGGTTTAAAACCCCATTTCTTACCCTCGGGAACTCTTGTAAGGGTTTTCAAAGGTTCAGAAACCCATTTTTTACCCCCGAAAACCCTTAAAAGCTTTTCGATAGTAACAAGCTCGGAAACCTTTGCTCATTGGCTTCCGAGAATATCTTTTTTTTTCAGAGAGTGTGGATATAATTTCTGCAATTGGAAAAATGCAGAATATATACGATGATTATGATTAGGGCCGTACAGCTCATCCTCATGAGCATCAGAGGATCAATCGCTGGCACTTGTGAAGTGCTCATATGACCTTGAGCGTCTTCTCTGTGGTGCTCATAAGTCATCCTAGTAGATACCCATAATTTTTCATCAGCTTTATAACATGGGTAACTACAATTGATCGTTGCCTGTCCAATTGAGGTGTCCATAATTGTTCACTGGCTATTTAACAGAGACACCCATAACTATTCGCAGGCCATATAACGGGGCTGCCGATGCCTATCCATGGGTTATATAACATGGGTACCCATAACTGTTTTTAGTCTATATAAAGAGGGTACTCATATTTGTTCATGAACCATATAAGGGGGGGGGGGGGCACATGTGTTCTTGACCCATATTACAGGGATACCCATAACTGTTCGTGAGCCATATGGCATGAGCACTCATAACAGTTCGTGTCTATGTAACAGAGGTACCGATAACTGTTCACGGGCTATGAAAGGAATACTCATGACTGCGGAAGTAGTATGTATCGGCAGTCCACATCTTTGCTCATGGCGTATGCATGGCTGGACCTAATACTGTTTATTGCATATCTGGGCGCAGTGACCCTCACTGATTAAGGGACTCTTGGGGATAGGAGCCATATATTCACAATGTCGATCTTTTGTTTTTAATAACGGAATAAAGCTATTTGCCACGTCTTAACTAGATTTTGTCAACGACTATGGCGTGTTGTCCAATGGTTGTCGTTGGGATAATTTGTAGGACTACGTGTATTTAAGTAGTAGCTGAATATTGTTCGATTCAATATATCACCGTATTTAGTTTTAGTAAATGTTAGTGCGGATTAAAACGCTTTACTTGAAGAGGAATCAACATGTAAAACTACAAGAACAGGAATAAAAAATCAAGATAACTGGCGATATGTAGTCGTTGCTATATGAATATATAGAATGGCGCGTGCTTTACCACGACAGGAGATAGATGATCATGACCTAACTATTTATAGTACAAAGATATTAGTCGAAGTGGGTTCATTATTTGATAGACAATAAACAGAACACAATTAAAATGACGAATAGATGACGGGAGCATACGCTGAAAAAAAAAGGCACCATACGAAACCCAAAAAGCTTCCGATTTTTGTAACGAAATCGAAATCCTTTGGGGTTTCGTAGAAAAAAGGTTTCGTAAACAGTCTTAGCTTTTAAGCGCTGATAGCAAGGGTTTCGT